CTGCTAATAGAAAGGCTTGGGTGGCAAGTAGTAGTAAGCCAAGCATGATTTTTACAGGAAAAGTAAGTTGATATTTGCATTTAAAGTATAACTAAGGGCTCCTGTATGTCAGTCTAAACAGGTACTATATCCAGTTACTATGTGATGCACAGACCTCACACAGTACAGAAAAAACTTCCTTTACCCTCCCTAACTGAACCAAATCCTCCTTCAATTGTCTCTCATACATTCCCCTCCCAGACACTGCAGCTCACAGGGTTTCAGTAACAGAGGCAGTCCTGTTAGTCTAGAACAGGGGTGTCAAATCCAAACTTAGTAGGGGCCATGCCGAAGGTTGTGAATAAAATCAGGGGCTGGACATAAAGAAGATATAAACAATCAACTTGGCTGCTTGCAGCAGTACAAATCTCGTACCGTACCACTAATGATTTTATGGCAGTCCTGGTAATGGTCAGGGCCTGCTGACACTTGTACTGCCCTCACACACAGGACATCAGGATAGTCATATAATGGACAGGGATTGCTGACACTTATAGTGCTTTCACACACAGGACACCAGGACTGTCACATAGTGGTTAATTTACAGTCCTGTGTGTGAGGGCACTACAAGCATCAGCAGTCCCTGTCCATTAAATAGACAGGGACTGCTGACACTTGTAGTGCCCTCACACACAGTCAGTCCCGGATACACACAGCGGGACTTACTGGAGCCGTTGGCACAAGAGGAGAAGCGTGCGGGCGTGGAGAAAACTGTGGCCCAGGAGGGAGATGCAGGTGAGGAGATATGTGCGGCTGATGAGGGAGATCCTGGGTCCTCAGGGGGCGGCTGGCTGAATTACCGCTTCAAGTTTTTCCTGCCTGAGCACAGGCTAGAAAAAAAAAATTAACCCTGTTTGCCATGGTACAAAGCTAGGGACTGGAGGGCCTAATAAAATATTGTGGCGGGCTGTTACTGGCCTGCGTGCCTTGTAATTGAAGCATATATGGTCTAGAACAGGGGTGCCTATTAGGTAGATTGTGATCTACCAGTAGCTCTCAAAGCTGATGCTGGTAGATCACGAAGGGTGTGAATGGCGGCCCCTTTATTCCATTTTGGTATATTTATTTAGCTGTGCACACATGATTACCTATTAGCCTGAGTCTGCTGAGCCAAGCTCCCTGACACCTTTCTGGTGGATACTGGTGGTTGAAGTGCTATGTATTACATCAAAGAATATTAGTTTACACAGCCTGTTGCAAAATACAGCAAGGGGAGCCAGGAGAGAGAGAGCGAGGGAGGTTTTTTTTTCTTTGGTAGATCTCGTGTACCTTGTCATTTGAAAAGTAGATCTTAACACAAAAAATTGTGGGCAGCCCTGGTCTAGAACATATTGGGCGGGACTAGGCATGGCCAGGTGATGACTGACAAGCTACAGGCTCCTGAATCAACACTGGCAATGCCGATAGCCATGCCCCCTGCAACGTCTTCTCATCCCACTGTAGTACAAACAGTCATAGTCCACATGAGAGTGACAACTCTGCTCTGAGTTCAGGAGCAGTGCAGCATCATTTCCACCCCATCACAGGAAGCTGCATCAGGTGGACTTCACTGGCAGGATCGGCAAGTATTTGTGGGACTTTGCAGGGGGAATAAGAGAAATCTATAAGTGCAGTTGCTCTTATCATTAAATGCTGCAGCACATATTTTTGAATGGGAGGCCACAGGTGTACTTTAACGTTATCCGCCCTTTATCTTGATTTACACATCATACCGATATGCAGTTTTCACTGAATATAAACTCTGCTTATGCATTCTTTCATCATATCCTCAGTTTAAACTGCCAAGCTTTGGACAGATTTGCTTTAAAGCTCAACTCCTAGATATAAATAGCTACATGCCCCCAATCAAAGGTGCGATCACATGACCGCTCCAGGAGTACAGGAGCTGCAATTTTAGAGCAAGGTCCTTACAAATGATAAAACTGGATTTCTGCTTTACAGATTCATCGATGAGACTTTGCTGTATTAAGACACAATAAACAAACTATAGGCGTTGAATAGTATTCACAACTCTTTACAAAATTTACATTATTAAGATATTGGATGATGACATTAGACAAGGAAAGATAAAAAGAATCATTTTGCTTTCTAATCCAACCTGTGTGCCATGACAGTACAACACACAAGGGCTCACACAATGGCTCGGTACATACTAGGAAAATCAACGCTCCAAAGAGCTTACACTCTAACCAGATTTCAAGATAAAATGACGACATACAAAACACATTAAGTAAGTGAAGGCACTGAGAGGTAATACTAATGGGCTTGTTCAATAAGGCAAATGACGCACAGTGTAAACCATGGTGGCCTGTTGTAATGAAGTATTATGGATGTGATTTCATTTAGCTAATTTCTGAGTGGTTGCTGCATGCCGCCATTGCTCTTTGCACTGCTTTACTGGATAGGCTTGTAACTCTTCCTAAATACTGGCATAAACATTCATCAGGAAAATGATATAATAATACATAATGTATTTATATATATATTATATATTCCCTGTGTGATAAGTGAAATCCTATTTTTCATTGTAGGTACAATGCACATTCACCATGCTATTGTGCCCTGTGGTGATTTAGCAGCTGGTGGGATGAACCACAGAGCGCAGAGGGGGCCCGTCAACCAACACTGGAAGGTTTTTCAGCCTCCTAGTACTGGAACAGACCAAAGAAGGCAGGGTACAGGTAAGTATTATTCATTTACATATAGTCCTTACTTAAAAATGTTTTATATAGCGACAGTTAGAGGAAATATGGAGGCTGCCATGGCTGACCACCTCCTGAAAATGCTAGTTGTATGGCTGTCTTTGGCTTTAATCATTTCTGAGAAGATGATTTGGAACAAGCATGGAGATTGGAAAGTCAAAATTACCTCCAGAGTTTTTAAACTGTATTTATACAATGGAATGTATACGTTGTATAGCTTCAAGCCTTTGTTAGTCCTCATATTTAGGTGTTTTTTAGGAGGTAATATTCATAAACATTTTGTAGCCCGGGAGATTCCAGTCTCAATCAGAACTTTGAAGTCACTTTTATTTTCCTTCTTGCAGATTAGAAATGAAGGGGTCTAGTTATAAAAATAAATTCCCTTGGCGAAAGTATCAGCATTCACAAACAAGTCCCAAATATCCTTGTGAATGTTTTTAATGTGCAAAATTTTATTTTCTAATAATTAATTTGGTATTTGCAGGCCAATGTAATATTCATTTGGTAAATCCTGTTTGTTCAAAATGTTCTCAAATTGAATGTAATTGGAATGTGCTATTATACATGTTATTGTTTGGATTCGTCTGTCGATAAGCATTACTAGATGCAACATATTCTAAGAATATTAAATCCTAAGAGGCAATACCCTAAGATCATTCTATCCTAAGAGAGAATACCCTAAGAGCATTCAATCCTAAGGGAGTATACCCTAAGAGCAATTAATCCTAAAATAGAATACCCTAAGAGCACTTGATCCTAAGGGAGAATACACTAAGAGCATTCAATCCTAAGGGAGAAAACCCTAAGGGCATTCAATCCTATGAGCGAATACCCTAAGGGCATTCAATCCTAAAATAGAATACCCTAAGAGCACTTGATCCTAAGGGAGAATACCCTAAGAGCATTCAATCCTAAGGGAGAAAACCCTAAGAGCATTCAATCCTAAGAGAGAATACCCTAAGAGCACTTGATCCTAAGAGAGAATACCCTAAGAGCATTCAATCCTAAGAGAGAATACCCTAAGAGCATTCAATCCTAAGAGAGAATACCCTAAGAGCACTTGATCCTAAGAGAGAATACCCTAAGAGCATTCAATCCTAAGAGAGAATACCCTAAGAGCACTTGATCCTAAGAGGGAATAACCTAAGAGCATTCGATCCAAAGAGAAGATAGTCTAAGAACATTGGATCAGAAGATGAAATGCCCCAAGAACATTCAGCTTTGCCCAATTCACACAACAGCCACAACTTTATTTGTTCTGCAAAAAATCCTCAAAACTAATGAGCAAATGCCGGTTAATTCACACAGAATGAATGTACATGCTGTTTCAATGGATGAATAGCTCTGTAAACTTGTTATAAATAGACCCCTAAGAGTGACGATCAAATTCTTGCATACTTATTCCGAGCAAGTATCTCAGAAAATAAAGAAGCCAGTGGATCAGCCAGCCAGCTAAATAGAATCTTCGGAAGGTGGGATCCCTAATGGCAGCTTCCATATTCCCTCAGTCCAGGTTTTCTTTAGAAACAGAAGTTGGCATTTGCAGCTAATATATATTTTCTACAGTTTCCCGTATAAATGCATCTTCGCCAACCTGTAGCGTGAGGGCTGAATGTGACCCCATGGCATTTATCATATGGTTCTTAAGCCCTGACATCCAGTACCAGGAGTGGTAGCAAGATTTGTTAAGGATCTTTAATGGTAGTGATCTTTAGCTGTCTCATGTAATGTCCCCAGTCTCTTACGGACGGTCTTCTGTATAATATCTCCAGTCTCTCTTACCACATCTGTAGCATGTCCCTAGCATTTGACCATCTCATGTGGAATGTATGCAGTCTCTAATGGAGTTCCATATACTTAATATTATGTGCAGCCCGATGATGTTGTCACCGGCCAAAGTTGAGGCTGCCTATATCTACTAATTGGACCATCATAGCCAGATCTGGTCACTGTACAGACACTCCATGCTGCTCGATGATTATACTGTAACTGCACAGAAAAAAACTTACACCATTAATTCTTATTAAGCAGTGACAATTATTTGCAGCAGCCAATCAGAAACGACCTTGGGTTGTGATAACCACTGTAAATCATAGTTCGGTAAGGGTTACTGTATTTTTCATATCATTTGCATGTCTGTATTAAACGGGCTGGTAATGTGTCTGTATCTTTAAAGCTTTACAATATATCACAACAATGTCCACTAAATTACAGATCTTGAATATAAAAAAGCATCATGAATGTGCTCAACAACATGGTAACAGACCCTTGCATTTCAGACACTTTTTATACATGAGGCCCATAATGTCTCATTGAATTGTCTCCCCTGTAATAAATAGTAGAAGCTCTAGAGGACCGTCCAGGAGAAAAGGTTGGTCAATAAAATACAGAAATGAAGAGGAGGAGATGCGAGAGTGAAAATTGTCCTCTCAAGGCACTTTGTCTGCTGGTGAATGTCCTTTGTAGCAGTGCTTGGAAAAATGCTTGGCTTTGTACATTGGAAGATAGTGCAGGCTGCCATCTTGTTACATTGTCAGTCTGCTTCATGGAAGGCTGCTGATGTGTCTCCTTGGTGGGGGACCTACAGGTCTTGGAGCCGTCTCATTGGCCTTTTCTTCGAACATCATGATACTGCAAAAAGAAAGCAAAGGGTTAATTGCTGCAGTTTACATGTTGCAGTCTAGATGACCATGCTAACCTAAGGTAGATGCGAACCCTAATGGAACGACATTTCATTTGCTAATGCACTGTGTATCATGGACAGTTGATATTTAATTAAGTACTTTTCACCATAAACTATTTTTTGTTGCATCTCAGTGCTGCTGATTTCCTGCAGACTTTTTTCAGCTACTCCCTGTTTACTCTTAAAAATCCTACCTCACTTTCCCCCCGTGTAATATTTAGGAGGGAGCTGTGGGAAGTTATGTTTACTCCGATTACCTCTCTCTGTACTGTGCCAGCAGATCTCATTATCACTTGTAAAGTAGATTTGAACACTGTCTGATTTGAACAAAGGGTTAAAGATTTAGAAGCATTTTTAATGTTCAGTCTGTCCCTAAGTTTGTGCCTCTACTTTCACTTTCAAAATGCTCAGAGTAGCCTGGGATCTGCACAAAGGCCTTCACCAAAGAAATATCTAATTTCCTAATATCTTAATATTTTTTGCATGCTTTGTTAGTGAATGGAAACACATAACAAACATATAAATGTCAGATTTACTGCAAAAGAGGAAATACACTTTAAGATCATTTTCTTTTCCTGGCGTACATGGCAGCATACCAGTGATAGAGCGCTGCCCCTATCCCCACCTACAGAACCAGTAAATATACAGTGGGGGGGATTTATCAAAACTTGAGCAGACAAAATCTGGAGCAGCTGTGTGTGGCAACCAATCAGCTTCTCTCTTCAGTTTGTTCAGTTAAGATTTGAAAATGAAAGAGAGAAGCTGATTGGTCGCCATGCACAGCTGCTCCAGATTTTGTCTCATCCAGTTTTGATAAATTCCCTTCAGTATATCTTTATTTGACTGCATAAAGAGGCATAACAAGAGATGCAATTCTTTTCTATGTGGCTGGTTCATCTATGCAATGCAGTTTAGTGTGAAAGAAAAACTATATGGGCTCGTTCACAGTGAGCACTGTGCATTACTATACATGCTGCATGCACACAGAACAGTGTGACTCCAGCCTAAAAGTAAGAGGATAGATTCCCCAGGCATTCTTGTGAAAAGATTCCGATGGGGGAGTAATGTATGCTGCCATGGACAGGCACCAGGAAAGGTAAAAATAAGTATGGATACCATTTTCTGTTTTTCTGGTGCCGGCAACAATAGTCATGCCCTTTGCCAGAAGTCTCATTAGGAACCTCATCATGAAGGAATAGCTGGATTGAGTGCTACAAAATGAAAAAATCAATAGTCTTATGAAATTTTTTTAATGTTTTAAAAAGTTTGTATTTATGGGAGGGGAAGCTGAGCTGTTGAGTTACTGCTGTGGAGTGAGGAGTAGGGTGAGCTGAGGAGTCACTGTTGGGAGCGGGTGAACTGAGCTGCTGAGTTACTGCTGGGAGTGGGGAGTAGGGTGAGCTGAGGACTCACTGTTGGGAGAGGGAGAGGGTGAACTGAGCTGCTGAGTTACTGCTGGGAGTGGGGAGTAGGGTGAGCTGAGGACTCACTGTTGGGAGAGGGAGAGGGTGAACTGAGCTGCTGAGTTACTGCTGGGAGTGGGGAGTAGGGTGAGCTGAGGACTCACTGTTGGGAGAGGGAGAGGGTGAACTGAGCTGCTGAGTTACTGCTGGGAGTGGGGTGAGCTGAGGACTCACTGTTGGGAGAGGGTGAACTGAGCTGCTGAGTAACTGCTGGGAGTGGGGAGTATGGTGAGCTGAGGAGTCACTGTTGGGAGAGGGTGAACTGAGCTGCTGAATTACTGCTGGGAGGGGGGAGTAGGGTGAGCTGAGGAGCCCCTGCTATGAGGGGTGAGCAGCGGGATCTGAGCTGCTGATTAACCAACTACTGGGAGGGGAAGTAAGATGGACTTAGCTGTTGAGTCACTGTTGAGAGGGGTGAGCCGGGGGTCCTGAGCTGCTGAGTCACTGTGGAAATAGAAGCTGAACTGCTGGGTCCATGCTGGGAGGAAGGAGCAAGGGGCTCTGAGCTGCTGAGTCACTGCATGGAATGGGAGCTGAACTCCTAGGTCACTGCTGGAAGGAGGGAGCAGGGTGAGCTGAGCTACTGAGAGAGATGGACTTGAACAAGTGAAGACTTCTCCTAATGTGCATTTTAAGGATGAACTGATCCACACTGCCTGCTGCTACAATGGTCAGTTCAAACACGGTTTTAAAGCCTGTTAAAAATATGCAACTAGTTAACTGTCCATAACCTTACCACAGTTACACTCTAATGGTTTTTGGTAACGCTGACAAATGTCCTATTGAGTCATGTGAAGTGTGATATTTATTGACAGGTCCACTTTATCTACGAGGTCATAAAGGTTTTTATGGTCAGATCTGACCACAATGTTGTGAAATCTAAGAGACAGCTAATGTAACAAAAGGAAGCACATGTGAAAAAATGGAGAAGAAGAAGAAGTTCTGCACAAGAGGTCCGATCCGAGCTGGAGATTTATAGTGAATTATGAGGAAGTTCTATTGTGCAATATCTTTAGCTTTCAAAATCACAAAGACAAAGATTTGCAGAGCTTTCACCAACCACAGTGTAGATGACCATGGGAACCGAAATCTGGTTTGCAAAGTGTAAGAGGCCATTCAGAACATAACGTGCACTATACCGCATGTCAAGAACACTTTATAAAACGTGTTCCCCTGTGTGTTAATTGCACTTTGATGCACATTTACAGTGCACTGGCACGTACTGTATGTGCATTGTAGCGCACTGCAACACACATACACATATGTTCTAAAAAAAAAATCATGCAGCACCCATTTTTGCGCTGGCTAAGGTGCATTATTATTATTATTATTATTACATAGTATTTATATAGCGCCAACAGTTTGCGCAGCGCTTTACAATGTAAGGAAGACATTTGATTGGGTTGACTGACGCAACCCAACTAAGATTTCAGTGCAGCATAAGCAGAGTTGTCAGCTCACAGAAAGTTAGGAGCTCACTGGATTTTGGGCAGGATCAGGAAATTAGCAGCTTATTGGATTTCTGGCAAGGTAAAGCTGTACTGAAAATGTTTTTAGTGAGTTTTTGCCAACACATACACTTTAACTTATTGCAGTTCCTCCGTATCATTCTACTCGGTACAGAAATGTTGTAAAGCGTATTTAAACTTAAGAACAAACATGTAATATATTGTAATTTTCACATCCTTAGATGTGGTGGCTGCATTTGCCCCTTTTCAGGCCTTTTATCTTTATTTTTCACCTGCCGATAACACACTTCCCGTTCTAGGACGCTTTACTTTACTGTATCTATGGAGAAGCAGGTGTGCCACCCTAGGCTGCTCGCTCCAGATTTGGACTGCAAGCATCTCCAGAGAAGGGAATTGGAAAGCGTGTTAACTTTGGGGTCCATACACTAAGCTGCCGTAGGCAGCCGAGTGACTAACCGACTCCAAGCAAAGTGAGCCGAACGCTGTTCGGCTATTCAATTCAGGCTGGTACGGCTGATTCCAGCCGTATATCGGCTGAATTCAGCAGTACATCGGGTGACTTCGGGTCGGCCGAACGTGCTCAGCATGTTCGGCGGACCCGAAGTGCAGAAGGAGTTCAACTCAGCCGATCCAACATCTGGATCGGCTAAGCCTAACCTCCGGCAGGCTACTTGCTGCCGTTCGGTCTATTCTCATAGATGCCCAACAGCAGTGAGTAAATAGCCGAATGCCTCTGAGAAAAATAGTTAAAGTAGAAAAAAAAAAGATTAGAAAACGATCGTGCAGAGATAGCAGTGACAGCTAGCTCCGCCCAACTGTTTTGTATTGCCCGGGCGGTTCTGCTGCCATCAACAAAAAAATGAAAACACCATAGGAATGCATAGCTAGATTCTAGACATGTGCACTGCCAAAAAATTTGTTTCGTTTCGTTCTGATTCGGATTTTGTGTTATTTTGTTTTTCAGGATTCGGGTGTGAAAGTCAATCCGGATTCGGAATTCGGATTCGGACGAAATTCGTTAGCGGTAGTTCGTTTTCGTTTCATATTCATTTCGTTCATCCATCATTCGTTTGCAGCAAAAAGACATTTGAGGCATAAAAAATGTTTTTCTCCTTCTCTAATGTCACTTTGCTCCAACAAACGAACGAAACGAATAAGAAACGAAAATGAACGTTCGAGCGAATTTTGGAAACGGAAATTCGGATTCGTTTGCATTCGTTATATCTGTAATTTGGAATTCGGATACATCCAAATGTCCGAATTTCCAAAAATCCGTCCGAATTTCGATTCGGAACGAAACGAATCGCACATGTCTACTAAATTCCTATTGGCTATTTCACTTTGCAATAGCCAATAGCAACCTAGCTATTGCACCCGCCCTTGTGCTGCTGTCAATCACCAAAGGGGGACCTGATGGAGAACTGCAGGTCCCCCTCTGCTGATTGACAGCAGCAGTGGGCAGGTGCAATAGCTAGTTTGTTATTGGCTATTGCAAATTGAAATAGCCAATAGGAATCATGCTATGCATTCCTATGGTGATTTCTCTTTTTTTTGTCTTCTGACTGCAACCTGCAACTGCAAATATCATATATAGTTATATAAATTGTTCCTATTTAACCCCTAATTAACCATTCGCTAATTTGGATAACTTTTAGATAACTCTGATTACTATTTACTCACTCCTTCCACCCCCAGCTATTTTGTTTTATAACATTCCTATGTTTTCTATGCTTCCAACCATTTTGTTTGTTTTTGTAGAGCTGCATTAAAAAAACACACACAAAGTGTAATAAAAAGACTATTTCTGTTGTAGGTAACGTCACCATGCTTTGTACCAGAAATTTAATTTGAGAGCTTTTATAAAAGGTTCAATGATTTGGGGAGGTGAGGGGAAGGAGGATCGACCGGGCAAAGTGGTCCATTTTCTTCTCTTTGAAATGTTGGAGAGCATGTTATTATGCCATTGTAAATGCAATGACAAAACTAGTAGGACAATTGTTGATTCCAACCTTAGAA